CCTGAGATTAGCAGTGGGCACATAACAGAAGCAGGAGTTTGACTGGGAGGTGTACACTCCTTCTGCACGTAAAAGTCACAAGAGTAGCAGCTGTCCAAATTTAAAAGTCATCTACAAAGATTGAAAGAACTGGGGATACATTTTTCTCAGAAAGATTATGAAAGTTAAACAGGAGAAGGCACAGTAGAAGCATAAAGGCTATGTCAGAGTCAAAGGGAATAATCTGTGCACCACATCTAGGATGAACACAAGAAGAAATAGGAGAACAGAATTTCTACTCTGTATCTTTCTTCCCCTCTTGCTTACTGCCTCCCAGCCACTAAGTGCCTATGATCTCCCCTAGAATTTGAGTCTTGCTTGATTTACCAAATAAGGGAGTGGGAGATAAACATACCCTCTTAATGCACATGACCAGAGCTACCACTCTGATACAAAGGATGGGAGCTCAAGAAAATGTGAAATCTGTGCTGACGCTTAGGCCACAGACTGAGTATTGCATTATCAAGCAGCAGCTGAGCCACTAGGATGACTGTATCAGAAGAAACACAAACAACAGAATTTGCTGTGACAGAAAATAGCATATCAGATCAGAAATTAAAAGCTGAATCTATCTAAGCTATTTACAGATGTGGGTGGTTTTATCCTGGATTTTGCTTTCCAATAAGAAAGCACTTCCACTGCATAAAATTATTGGGTGTCCGAACACAGTCTCGGACATTTACAAATGTATACTCTTCTATAGTATTCTTAGTATATATAAATGTTTGGGGTTGTTTTGTTTGGGGGATTTGATTTTTGGGGAGTTGATTGTTTTATCTCTTGTTTGATGTCTTTTTTTTTTTTTCTTTTTACACTCAAACTGTGCTCTCTTTTTCTATGCTTCACATGAGGAGAAAAAAAATCAGATGCATGAATTTTTTGTGGTTTATGGATTTTCTCCTCATCAGCAGCTTCTTTTACCATAGTCATTGCATTATTCCTGAAGTCCCTTAAACAGTGCATTGAACAACTTGATTAACAACTGTGAGGAGTGCGCCCACAAAGCTGCTTGCTTGCTCACCCCTAGCAGAGAGAACAGGAAGGGCAAAAGCAGTTAAACTCATGGATCAAGGCACAAACATTCTAATTGAGGATGGACAAAAAATACTTGACCACCACTTCTCCCTACATCCCACGGTCAGACTGATGTTTCCCCATTCTCTGAGCAACTGCCACTTTTGTGGACACACAGTTCTATTTCTGCTATCCCATCCAATGGAGCATGATGTTGTCTGGTGCTGAATACCCTTTGGGCCAGTCTCAGTCAGCTGCCTGGCCTGTGAGAAACAGTACAGCAAGGCACAAGGTAGGACACTCTGTGGTCACAGTCCTTGGGCTGGTTGTTAACCGCCACTCAAATGGACCAAGGAGCCAGACTGCTATTGACTCTGTGAGCTGAACTGTTCTACTGTCCCCAGCATGGCGCCAGGAGCACCAGTAGTGGTGGAAACAGTGTCAAAAAAAAAACTTTGCACAGCAAAAGTTACACGCTTTCAGTGGCTTCGAATGCATTTACGAACTCATCTGCCTGCTAAAGAGGCAGCTATGCTGTTTTACTAGTACAGGAAATTCTCAAGAGGTGGCTGAGAGCATTTGTGTGTGTTTCTCTGCAATGCAGATGAGCACCCAGAGCACTTCCAGGAGCTGCTTTTCTCCTTATATGCAGAATTTGGTTGTTGTGATCAAAGAAGAAAGAACGAGTAGATTTCGGTCCTTTCAGATCAAACATAAAGCCTCACAGAGAAAGAGGCTTGCTTTGAATCACCAAATTTCAGATAGCTCCTTGTGTGAAAGACAAACAAACTACCCAGCCACCACTGCCTCTTCTTGTCACTTCTGCTCTCCTGAGAGGCAGTGTGAGCAACGCCAAGGGTTCACCAACCCACTCAGGAAAGCAGAACTTGGAGCTGGATGGGAAAACAGGCTTCTAAGGGCTATGAACAGTGCAACCAGAGGGAGGGCCCAGGCAGAGCGGAGAGATGTATATGCTACATTGTGCACAAATGTATTACCCCTGTGCTGTGAAGTGCTCTGCTTCATTTGTCCTATGGGTATGTGTGAAGAGAACTTTCTGTTACAATATAGGTTCTGTATGAGAAATAATTAGGAACAGAAAGGGCCCAAGGGAAGCCAGGGAGAGAATCTAACCCAGGGATCTCCCATTGCAATTAGTAATTTGTAAAGACGGTGTACATGCTAATGAGCATCTTCTCTGTTACCACTTCATTTCTAATATGCCCAGTGCCTTAAACCAGAAAAATAATTTCTTTACATTTTCCTACTCTGAAAATTGTATTTTAATATATAAAAGGAAGAAAAAGAGAAGGATAGCAGCACAGCTTTAAAATAAAAATACAGACTATCTATATATATCTGATGTAAGCTATGATGCAAAGATATGAAGAGGAAAAAAAAAAAAAAATTTGTTTGGTTCCTGTTTAGGGCAAGGTTTTTGCTTTTTTAATTCCACTACCATTATGGGGTTTTTTTTTGAGGGTTTTTTTTTTTTTCTTTTTTTTTTTTTTTTTGAAAGGGTTAGTAGTCTCACTACAATTTCTCCTCTAGAAAATGCAAAAGGCTGTACTCAAGGTATCCCACAGCTCCTCCTATTACACCAGAGGGAGAGGCTGAATCATAATAAAAGATGATTTTGCCTTATTAGGATATGAGATTCTCAGAGAAAGAGACATGAGTCAGTAGAAATAACTTGCCCCAGTACCCACCACATGTTACATGTTTCCCATTACTGCAGCATATCCAACTAAATGTAGAATTGTCCATAGGGAAAGGAAAAGCTATGACACTAATGAGGTCATTTTTTTTTTTTATTTTTGTCAGTAAATAAATAACATGCTGATATATAATGACCTCTTTTGAAGCAGGATGATTTTTTAAGTATACTTAAGATATTTCTCAACTGCCTTTTAGCATTTTTACAGTGACATAAGTTCCTTAAGGACTGGCTTGCAAGCTGACTGCTACAGACAGAAAGACTGCAGTTGCCACTGTCTGGCGTCTTAGATGCAGATTACAAGTTATTCAGTGACCTCAGTGATGATTTGTGTCCATATAATTCAGCCATCATCATTCTGTTTTCTTTCTTAAAGATACAGCTAGAAAGGAAGCATGTCACCTCCGTAGGAAGGTATGCTGCCTCCCTGGGGGAGGGACATTAGTAAGGGACTCCCTAGTCTGTTTCTCTGTTCTGATTATTATCCCTTACCGATAGTTCAGGTTGGCAGCAATGAAGACACTGAGAGAAGCTTGAGGGCTAACAAAAGGGACCTTGGGGGACTATGGCAGTTAGTGGACAGAGTTCAGGTGGTGTTTTCCTCTATCTCTTCAGTGGCAGCCAGGGATACTGAGAGGACCAGGAAAACCCATCACGTAAATACGTGACCAAGAGGCTGGTGCCATTGCAATTTTGGCTTCTTCTAATACTGGGACATTTACTCGGTGACTGCTCTGATGGCTGTTGATGGGGTCCACCTAGATCAAAAACGTCAACACATTCTGACCAGGAGCTGTTTGGATTCATTGGCAGGGCCTTAAAATGGGTTTGAAGGGAGAAGAGGGCAATGGCAAGCCTGCCCACAACAAGGTGCAGGAAAGCATAGCTAAGTTAGAAGGACAAGGTGCCGGTGAGGGCCCTCAATCTGTTGCATCAACAGGACAGCAATAGGGCGACTAAAGGTAAATAAAGGAATTAAGAGGTTGTCCCACTTGATCTAGCTATAGGTGTCCCTGTTTAGTGCAGGGGAGTTGGACTAGACAACCTTTAAATGTCCCTACCGACTGAAAGGACTCTAAATAATAATACTATCTCTAAAAGATGAAAAAGAAGTGAAACCTTTATTTATAGGAAAAGAACACACACACACAGAAAAGTTAATACCATAACTGAAGAGAAAAATTATTAGCTCACAAATGCTGCACTGCTGCTGCCAGTCATACTGGTGGAGTTGCCACCTGTCAGGTTGCAGAGGCAGTAAAGTAAAAAGGGAAACATTAAGGATGTCAGAAGAGTGTTTACAGCAACCAGTCATGTATGCTCATCTGCATGAAAGAAAGAATAGCAGCTCAGTTTTGATGAAACCAGCACTTACAGGAAAACAGCTTCAGCTGCTCAGAGAAGACAGGAGAGAGACAGTTTTAAATGAAGCCTCAAAAAAGCCTTTCAAATGATGCAAACAATTAAGACTTCACATAGCAATTTCTAGGAAGTGCTGTTGTTATACTGTACCTTGCCTATACCCAGGAGCAGAATGCATTGCAACAAACATAAAGAACATACTGAGATCTGTAGCTCTTCTTTCATGTCTCTGTTTTACTGTTTTCCTGGTTAAAAATAATAGTGTGCATACTTCACAGTACTTTTGATTTTGAATGCATCACAGTGATGTTTTACAGCCCAGCTGATGCTCTCTGTTGAAAGCAAATAATGCAACATTTGTTTGTTGCTTTGTGCTATGTTATTAGGTCTAGAGAGAAGAGCTGGCAGTGGGAGATTTTTTGCTGTACAGGATAAGCAGAGTCTTGAATCACCTTTCACAGACTGTTTTAGCTTTGCAAAACATTTTCCTCTTACTTGTCTGTTCCTTTTGTGGTTTTTGCTCTTCATGCAACAAGAATGGTGAGAAAGAAGCATCCTGATGCACTGCCAGCCTGAATCATCATTCTCTAAGATGCCCCGAGTCAAATACTCAGGTATTATCTCCCATTTTACTATCTGCACAGCCACATACAGAAACCTGCCTCCTGCTCTCTGGGGTCTCCCCCTCCATCAGAGTCTCAATAAATGGGAACAGCTTCTCCTTTGTTTTACTTTTCTTCCTCCTTGCCTCTTTGTGGAGCAAACTGTTTCTCAGCTTTATTAAAAAAATAATTTTGTAATCAACCTCTCCATCTGTTTTGATCAACCACTCTCATTAAAACATGGTAATCCACATCACGGTGCCCTGAATTCAGCAAGGGAGACCAGAACATCTTGCCTCCAGTATGTAGCTTCATCTCCCATCATAACTTTGAGTTTCCACTCAGGCTTCCCCAGCTGTATCTCTAAATTCACTGGTCCTATCTTCTGTAGGGCAATGTTTCATAGAAATTTAGTTTGAGAAAATCTCTCTCATGAAAAATAGATACCTTAAATTATTCATATAGGCATTTCCACTATCTCTTCTGTTGGGTCAAGATGTTAGACTAAACAGAGCAATGGCTTGCTGTCACATACCCTGCCTTTTATCGTGTTTCTGTTTGGTTTGGGTTCTCTCCTCTTTGTCTCAACAGTAAACATGGTTACATTTGGAGCCCAGATAATATTGACAAAGCACAACACAGTTGCTTTAGTTTGTTGCCATTTTCTCTAGTTTATTTATATTTCTTATGAGTATCCTAACAGTTTGAAAACCCCCTGGTGATTATCTTGACAAGAGCTTTTGTTGTTAATTAGGTATCACTTACAGATTATAAATATTCCCTTACTGACTTTTCATTCAATTATATGAAGACAGTGAGTATATATAGAATTAAATCCAAGCAATTTGCTTTAACCCAGCATGGTAAATAATAACTAGAGGTTTTATCAGAGATCAAATGCTAGCTGTTGAGCTAAGGAAATGAAACTAATTACAATTCCGGTGTTTTTAAGAAAAACACAGACTTCTTCTCATGCCATCCTTCTTGGGGACTGTCTGTAATCAGAGCTCTTTGACTCTTGAACCTCCACTTCAATTTTCTGCAGATCCTCTGAACAGCTCAGTGGATATATACTTCAAACAGCAATCATTTCTGAGGGTGCTGGAAATACAATAATACTTGCATTACAGGGCAAGGATTATGTAGAGGGTAATGAAGAACAATTATTCAATTGGGATTATTTTTCTTTCAAGTATATATCAAGATCTTTGGAAAAGCAAGATCCACCATCAGAATTTGCTCATGTCAATTATTCTAAAAGCTGGTTAGAGGTGGAAGGAAGGAAGTGTTTTTCTACTTACTTACCTAAGATCTGAAATAAACTGCAGTAAATAAAACAAAAAAAAAAATCATAAAACATCCAGGACAATTTGCTCCCCTTCATGTCAGAAATACAGCAATTGTTGATTAGATGAATAGCTGGGAACAATATCCCAGCATCTAAGTGGACAGTTCAGTTTGAAATATCAATCTTTCTGATGATTTAAAGAAATATTGTGACAATATTATATTCAGTGATCCCTTTTTTCTCTTTATAGTTCCAGTGGTTCCCCAAAAATGTCTGTTCTGAAGATGTCTAAAATAATAGCACTAATTTTCTGTCTTTTCAAGTGTACTAAGTTCATACCCTTTTACACAGCAAATCTGCAGAAAGTTATCATAGCATGCATACAGATACTGATATGATACTGCCATTGATTGAGGAGCCAGCTTTTCAATGAAATAGCAAATTGTTACCTTAGCAACCTACCATCATAAGCCTAGATATCTTAATATTTCCAGAGAGGTACCATTTTTCATAGAGGGCATTATAAGTAAACAAAGGGTCAGGCAACTAAAAGTACTGTGAGTAATCTTTTCATGCTATCTGTTATTGACAGAATCAAGATCTCATCCTTTCTTTATCCTAAGCAAAACATTTCAGCTGTCATGTGGCTCACTCTCCCAGGTGAAGGGTACTTCAGAGCAAATACTGAAGAAGCTGCTACCGGATTTAAGCAGAGCTGTACTGTGCACACAGCTGAAGTAATTTTGACCAAATACCTCAACTCTTCCATAGTTACCTGAGACTATAACAAGCTTGAGTGACTTGAGGAATCACAATGGCACTGTATGATACCAATTAAACATGTTTAGGGTCCATACAAAGCTCAGAATTATGATTCATCATTATATATACATATACATATATATATATGTAGAATTCTTCTCATTATGTTTTTCAGGCACTTACAAATCTCTCAGGTCTTACTGCAGCTGAATATATTCTTGTGCTCAAAAATTTCCTGAAATGAGATTATTAGTAATTCTGTGGACTCATTTCTGTGAAAATTTTCTTGTTCACAAAAATCAAAGATTCAGAAGTACCTTAAAGAACACAGGTTCCATAAGGAGCACATAGCTTTTTCTCAAGAAGTATGTGGAGAAATGAAACTCCTTCCATTTTTCTCTAATATTTTTCTCCTAAGTGGATTTGTATGGTACATTAAACTAAATGGTATTGACTTCATGTTCAGTCTAGGCCTTTGAAGTATACTGGATGTTGTTAGATATTAAGCATTTATGCTGAATCAGATGCCTTGTTTTTGCTGCACTTCTGATTTGGGCAATGTACCATGAACAATAGAGATGCACATACCAAAAATAATTGCACAGAGGTTCCTGAGGATGGGACCCAAGAGACCAGACTCATTACCACAGATTTAGAATTATACTTCGATACAGTTCAGAACTGTTATCATGCAAGGCCTTGTAACATTTTCCTAGAAAGCAATCAAATTTTCAGCATTTTCATAAAGAGGTGTCAGGAGAGCTGGCTGTAGAAGGATTGCCAGCCAGGCTGTGTGGCTGCTCAAATCTGACAGAAGATCCCACCAGGACTATCTGTGCCACCCTGTGCCTGCAGTCAGCCTACACCTCTCTTCATTAGGGTCATGTGTACCACATAATCTCTTTCTTAGTTTCAAGCATTGCCTTATATCTCAAACGTGCAAAGAGTTCACCTTCATAGTCTCCCCTGCATTCCTATTAGTTGTTAACAGAAGATATTTTCTTCTCAGAGATCCTTCACCATTTTCCTTTTCTCATCTAGATAAAACACATAAAAATCTGTTTCTTACAGACCACTAGAAAACAACTTCCAAGTGACCCACACATTGTTGTTACGTTTTAATGACTTGCTTACCTTGCTGGACAAATGACATTCAAAAAGGGATAGCTGAGTCAGGTACAAAAATATATCACTGTAGAAATAAAAATTTGCAAATAGATTTTTGTGAAAAATATGGCAGGTGATGTGACTGATTAACTTCTCGGATTAATAAAAATGGAAATTTAAACATAGGATAACACTGGGGGGGAAGAGGTGGGAAATAAAAAAAGGAATAGTTGCAAACTATTCCAAAAACAAAATTATTTATATTGCATAATGTCTCAGAGGGATGGCATGGATAAAATATGTCTGGAATTATGTAGGATCTGTAGTGCAATTTAAAAGCCATTAATAAGCTTTAACTAAAGAATGATTCTGTGAGAACTTGAGAAATGCCATGGATTCTTGCAACAGCAAATAACTCCACTGTGTTCATTTGGTCAAACGCCACTGAAAGCAAGTGCAGCCTCTGGGTGGAAATCACTGAATCACTGTGCATTATCTAACATACTGGAAAATCAGCAGTTACTAGAGAGCACTAAGCAAATAAAAGAGTAGTGCTATTATATAACTATCACGGGATCATATACTTCCATTTCCATTAAAAAGGTGGAAACAAAAGTAATTATAGAGGAGCATTTGAAAGAAACTCCTGAAATTATTTTAACAGACAAAAAGGTAGCAAGTAACAGCTACAAGAACCATTATGTAGACAGAAAATACTGCATTAATATTGGCTTTTGCTATTTTTTCTGATTCTGCAATAAAAAGAAGTTGTAAAAATTCTTCCAATTGCTTTGCTGACTTAGTGAGATTTTAGGCCATGTCAACTTTGCTGAATTTAAAGCATCTTAATTGTAACTTACAGTATGGATTTGGAATTACTGCCGCCAAGAAACAAAAAACATTTTTGTCATTGTGTGGTCTGTAATATTCCATATTGAGATCGTCTGTACCCACAGCATTCATCTCCACAAAACAAAACAAACAAACAAACAAACAAACAAAAAACAAAAAAAAAAAACAAAAAAACCCCACCACATTTACAATGTGGATAAACAGCCTCCCTCCAGGGCAAAATAAGAATCATCAGCTGAACACACCATCTTTGTAAAAATATCTCCAAGATTCAAGATTACCTTCAAGATTATTTGTCTGCCTGATAGTCTTTGGCAGTTCTGAGGCAACCCTTTAGCTATCCCTTAGAAAATAGCAGCTTGTTTGGTACGCAATCACCCACCACATGGGCTAGCACAAGGTCCAGCCATGAAAAGCCCAGCCTCTTTAAGGGACAAAAACCTGCAATGAGACTCAACTTATTTTCATTCAGTTTGATTGCTTCCAATTTTCAGCGCTTATATTTCATCATAGATTGCTGAAGACCTTATTATCAAAATACCATTCTCCATATAGATCAGGTTAATTTCTTCTTTTCTTTGAACAATGTTTCACCCAAGATTTTGTTTGAATCCACGAACTGACTTAAAAAAAAAAAAAAGAAAAAAGGATGAAATCACGCAGATCAAGAGTCCATTCTCTCTCAGCTGGAAAATCCGCCTGGTCAAGCAGTGCCTGACTACAATCGCATTTGGAAGCTGAACAAATTGACATTTTCAAAGTAGTTATTTTAACCATTGATTCTGCTCCACCCTGATTCCTTCATTTCTGTGTAATTTGATGTAGTGTCAAATGATTTTTGAAGGTCAGTATATCACTCTGATATTAACAAGCCAAACAAGTAACATGCTCGAAAACATAAGTTTGTTAATGCTAAGTGGCTTGCCATTGCCAGATTGCTATTTTTTAAGGGAAATTTCTACTGGCCCCTCTACTGTTCTGTCTGAAATACATAACAGGATTGCAGTTGCCACAACATTGCATTTATTCTCTGAAATATATTAACTGTTTTTTTTTCCTAAAGTACTAAGAAAGAACATTGATGACTGACAGGGTCCCTTATTCAGCTCTTCCGGTACCTTAGCTGCCTAATTAAAAATTCAGTAATTAATGAACATTTGTGAATGTAAGTTCCAGTGGTTAAGCAAAGCAATATGAATTTTTTGATGGATAAACTTTTTTTTCAGATCTGTATTTTCAGTGTAAAACCTTCAGCTTCCTGCAAAGTAATTTATGTCAAAAGAAAATAATATTGTTTTACAAGAAAAATCCATAAAAAAGGGAAGTAGAAGAAATACATGAAAGATTTACCTCTGAGATTTTTTTTCTTAATTATTTGATGGCTCTTATGGGAGTCCGGTTAAGTGATACGCTTTGGAACTGCTCTTTGAAGCTTTTAGCAGCAAGTGGCTTCCTCCCCAGCATGTGTTTTAAATGTGCTTTGCTGGATTGCAGTCCACCTGCACCAAACTGTGCTGTCCTTTTTACCCTTTCAATATTTTAAACATTTGACCTGCTTTCCTTCCTGCAGTTTTGCTTCCTAGAACGCTCTTGAAATAATTATGTAAGTGTCATCTTAATGCATTTTCTCTGCCATGTGCATTTTCAGCCCCCTTATGATGTTATCTTTTCAGAATGCCAGAAAAATGCGAACCAGATGTGCTGAGCACAGAACACCACAGCAGGGATTTCCCTCACAGCAATTACGATATGGAAGTTCTCAGGGACTCACCATGAAGTAATAAGGCTATTCTTAGTAACAAGAATGTAACCCAGGTAACAGAGTTTGAAGTATATTAAGTGTATCCATGCATATTTACCATGCTGAAAAAAACTGATATGGAAGAAAACAGTGCAATGATAAAAGAAAATCAAAATAAAAGTTGCCTTGGTGTGTTACATTTTGCAACTAGTACTGAATGTTTCTGTAATTTTTATGGTTGACTCATTTTTTGCATCCGTTTTTAATATGAATTTGGCAAAAAGATGAATGACAAAAGTTGAGCTGAAGGTTGTTGGCATCTCATGTCACTGCATATTGACATTCATCAGT